GGATGGGGAACACATGTAAATCCATGGCTGATTCATGTCAATGTATGGCAAAAACCACTACAATATTGTAAAGTAATTAGTCTCCAATTAATAAAAATAATTGGGAAAAAAAAGAAAAAATTTTTTTAAAAATAAATAAATAAAATAGGAAGGTCAAGACCAAAAGAGCCAAAAAAGGATAAGTCAGGGACTGTCTTTCACCACAAGTCTTCTACTATTTGACTTTTTAGAAGCATTTATTAGTCTGGTAAAAATTGGCAAAATCATCTAAATACTTTCCCATCAACAGACAAATACTTAGCTCCTTTCCACAAAGTTATCCCAAATATATTTTATTGAGAGGGCGGGGCACGACTCTTGTTCCTACACACCAATGCATAGCAGTTATTATTAGATACTTACAGACAAAACATTAAAAGAAGAAGGTTGGAAAAACACTGCCTCACCTCATTACACAAAAACAGACAGGAACTAGACAACAATTTGCAAAATAAAATAGAAAGCACTTCCAGAACACCGTTTCCATACAGCATCTCATAACTCTTACTAGATGCATGCTCAACATCAACATTTCTGCTAAGGTCAAAATCTCTGTAAGACACAAAGAAGATGTTCTTTCTCCAGATTCAAAACAGATGAGGTGCACTGCAGAGTTCCAACACTGTACAAAAGCCTTCTAAACAAGCAACACATCCTCCTAGAAGAATTCATGATGGAACTTAGAAGAACACCATACCTGAAAAGGGGAAGTCTGGGTCAAAGAAGCATTTGTTAAACTCCGCTGCTCAGCAACAAAACGAATTAGATGATTTGTTTCAGGAAGGCCCCGAAGACCAACTGTAGAGCGCCGTCTGGATTTTTTAAGGTAGAGTGATGACTTTCCTGCAATGAAAACTCTCTTTAAAGTTGGAACAAAACAAAGGGCAATCATCAGTAATCCTGCCCTGAACACCCCCATGACCCACTAGCCTGAGAGAGAACATGGGAAAAAAGTGGTACAGAAATCTAAATGGAAAACTGTAAGGAAGACTGTTCACACATCATCAGTTTTTGGGTAGGGACCTTTGTTTTGACTACTGATTTATTCCATGCCCTGGAGCTGTGCCCAGAATATAGAAAGCGTTTATCAATAGTTGTGTAACACATTTGAATTAACACGTCTCATATTTTGTTTCATATTTCCTCCACAGGATTGGTAATGGCTTGCTTTGGACTAAGAATTTCCCTTTTTCTGAATTAGTCTAATCTCCAAGGATGCTCTCCCCTTTGGCCTATACTTTCAAGTTCTGCTATCTCAAGACGATTTGTTTCTCCTTGATATTTGTCTACCTTCAGCACATTACCCTGAATTCCAGCTGCACACCTAAACACACAAAATAAGTCGAGCTTTCTAAAGGTCTAAACATGTTCTTTTTTTTTTTTTTCTTTTAAAGTTGTGGCATTCAGGGTCCAGTTTCCAGACCAGAGGTCCAACTCTGGCCCCCTGCATTGGGAGCTTGGAGTCTTGACCACTGGACCACCAGAGAGGTGCCAAGTGGGATGTTCTTGGGAAGGGGGCACAGGCTGGTTTGCCACCATGGTCTTGTCTCCATCATGTGTTATTAAGTTAGTGCCCTTTGGCTTTCTACACATTTTCCTCCAGGTCTAAATGCTGTTCTAATTCCACTCCTATTATTTCTTTCTTCTCCAGCGAAAACAGACTTCAAAAGTGAATTTTATTTCTACTCTGTAAGGGAGATTAGCCCGGGTCAATTTTCTGTTTCTAAGTTTGAAAAGGCATACTCTACTCTTTAAATTTCTTATTTTCTTAGATGCCCTTCAACTTTCTCTCATTTTTGCTATACATGACTGTCAAATGTATTAGTATTTAGGGCATACACCATCCTGTATTCCATGTGTTGGGTCAAAGAGCAATTTGGACACATATCCTTCTCCAGTTTAAATATGGTGCATACAACAAAGGAAACTAAAAGCAAGGTGAAAAGACAGCCCTCAGATTGGGAGAAAATAATAGCAAACGAAGCAACAGACAAAGGATTAATCTCAAAAATATACAAGCAACTCCTCCAGCTCAACTCCAGAAAAATAAATGACCCAATCAAAAAATGGGCCAAAGAACTCAACAGACATTTCTCCAAGGAAGACATACAGATGGCTAACAAACACATGAAAAGATGCTCAACATCACTCATTATCAGAGAAATGCAAATCAAAACCACAATGAGGTACCATTATACGCCAGTCAGGATGGCTGCTATCCAAAAGTCTACAAGCAATAAATGCTGGAGAGGGTGTGGAGAAAAGGGAACCCTCTTACACTGTTGGTGGGAATGCAAACTAGTACAGCCACTATGGAAAACAGTGTGGAGATTTCTTAAAAAGCTGGAAATAGAACTGCCATATGACCCAGCAATCCCACTTCTGGGCATACACACCAAGGAAACCAGATCTGAAAGAGACACGTGCACCCCAATGTTCATCGCAGCACTGTTTATAATAGCCAGGACATGGAAGCAACCTAGATGCCCATCAGCAGACGAATGGATGAGGAAGCTGTGGTACATATACACCATGGAATATTACTCAGCCATTAAAAAGAATTCATTTGAATCAGTTCTAATGAGATGGATGAAACTGGAGCCCATTATACAGAGTGAAGTAAGCCAGAAAGATAAAGACCATTACAGTATACTAACACATATATATGGAATTTAGAAAGATGGTAACGATAACCCTATATGCAAAACAGAAAAAGAGACTCAGATGTATAGAACAGACTTGTGGACTCTGGGAGAAGGCGAGGGTGGGATGTTTCAAGAGAACAGCATCGAAACATGTATATTATCTAGGGTGAAACAGATCACCAGCCCAGGTTGGATGCATGAGACAAGTGCTCGGGCCTGGTGCACTGGGAAGACCCAGAGGGATCGGGTGGAGAGGGAGGTGGGAGGGGGGACTGGGATGGGGAATACATGTAAATCCATGGCTAATTCATTTCAATGTATGACAAAAACTACTGTAATGATGTAAAGTAATTAGCCTCCAACTAATAAAAATAAATGGAAAAATAAATAAATAAATAAATATGGTGCATAGCTGTGACTCAGGAACAACATCATTTTGGTGCCCTGGGACCCTGATCTAGTAAGTTTGAGAGCCAATCAATTTAGATACATAACATACTAAAATAGATGGGGTAGGTGAACAGTACTGAGTTTAATTTTTAAACTTTTAAAAGCACTACAACAAAGGGACAACAGTTCTTACCTAAAGAGTTATTTACAAAGCTTTCAGGTGTAATTCCCAATTGCTCCACAGTTTCTGTGGAAAAGTTCAAAGGAGATTTAAAAGTCTCTGATGTGCAATCATTAGGAGTCATTTCAGCTCCCTGCTTGTGGGGAGTTACAAGCTTCCCATTTCCCAAAATGAAAGGGGTGTTTCCTGAAACAGACAACATGTGGTAGAAGTTAAGCATCATTAGAAGGTAAATATTTAAACCTTAAATTTCACAAAGAGACAACAGGTCTCTACATACCATTGTTATTAATAGAAGACTCCTTGGTTTGAAGGGGCTCGCTGTCTTGTGAACAAGTATCCATCTAAAGAAAGAGAGGAGAAAAAAGAAAAATAACCCACCTCCAAGATTAATGTGATTTGATTGAGATCCTCTTTCAAGACTGAATTCTAATACAATTCATGTTGTTGCTGTTTAGTCGCCAAGTCCTATTCAACTCTTTTGTGTTCCCATGGACTGTAGCCGGCCAGGCTCCTCTGTCCATGGGATATCCCAGGCAAGAATACTGGAGTGGGTTGCCATTTCCTTCTCCAGGGGATCTTCCCGACCCAGGAACTGAACCAGACAGCTCCTACGCTGACAGGCGGATTCTTTACCAGGGAAGCCCAACACAATCTACACTGGCACGAAAACAGGTGTCAAAAGACTACTTTAGAACCTCAAATTAAAGAGGAGTGGAGGAGACTGCTCTTCGGGATGAAACGAAGCACACCCCATAAGCCAAGGATTTTCAACCTTAGGGAACATCGGACTCATCTGGGCACTCTGTTAGAGACGCACCTTTTGCAGACTCCCCAAAATTCTAATTCAGGAGGTCTGCCCAGACCTCAGAAGTTTGCATATTAAAAAGCACGCAGGAGATCCAGTGGAACACACTGCTGAGAAAACACCCCGAAGAAACAGCTCTGCGGCACGGTGCTGCGCTTAGCCGTGTACCACTCTGTGACCCCGTGGACTGTAGATAGCCAGGCTCCTCTGTCCATGGGACTATCCAGGCAAGAATACTGGAGTGGGTTGCCATTCCCTTCTCCCGGGGATCTTCCCAACCCAGGTCTTCTGCATTGCAGGCGGATTCTTTACCGTCTGAGCTACCAGGGAAGCCCTGAATCTGCACTAGTCTCTGAAATCCCAACCAGATCACCTGCCTTACCTTCCGTAGGGTTTATTTCGAACGCTACTCCGATGAATATTGGGACTGCCGTGCCTTCTAGATCTCGGCTCTTTGGTCCTGAAGCATTCGCTCGAGAAAACAACTATCGGCCGCCAAGCCATCCGCTGAGGGCTCCCAGATCCCTCGCCGCCAACACCCCAACCTGCGGCCGGAGTCCCTTACGGCCTTCCTTCCGCGAGGGCTCGGACCGCCACCCGATTCAAATTGCCGGCCCCGCCTCCTCGGCGTTCCGGCGTTACTTTGAGAATCTCTACGCCGCCGCCACCTGCACGTGTGCGCGCGCACCCCGAACCCTACCAGGCCTCTACATCGCCGTCCCAGGAACAAGAGTGGCTTCGTGGGCTCGAAGAGACACCACCACTAGCTGCCGGTAACACACTGACCTAAGAGACCAGCTGTTGGCCTCTGTCCGCAGGGACTACTTTCTGTGAGAGCCTCGCGGAAGATCCCTTCGGTTAGTTTTTCGGCTCCGTCCCGCCTTTCGATTGGATGCTGCAAACTTCGAAAAGAATCCTTGGACCAATCAGGGCAGAAAAGCGGACCGGCTCTTACCCAATCAGCGAGCCCCAGGCTCAGCCGTTTCCTCTGTGGGTTGGGCGAGGGGGAGGTGTTAAAGTTGGGAGGCTCTGACTGGTTATGGATCACTTCCAGCGCTCCACCTCCTTCTCTCAAGCCCCGCCTTCGTATGCAGATTCTCTCTACCTGGTGTTGGCTTTGCGCCTGCTCAGTAATGCTTTGAGCCGCCGTTCGGCTCCAGGTTGAGCTCTGATTGGCTGATAATCCTTCCCTGTCGGCTAGACCGCAGCCTCTCTTCCCTCCTTCCACCTGGGCTGGGTTAGTAAGAGCCCACCCAGTGCAGGCGGATGATTGGTTGAGTGCTGCCCTGCGCCGCCGGATGATTGGCGGAGCTTAGAGTCAGTCTGGGAGAGGTGGGGGAAGGGCCCCAGACTGACTGAAGAGCCCAGGGGCGGGGTGGGAAGGAGGACCGGCCAACCTTGGGGTGTGGGACGGAGTGTGCGTGCTTGTGTGTGTGTGTGTCAGTGAAGGAAGGAAGGTGGCGAAGGGAGGAGGGTCCGAGTGGGTGGAGGGAGGGGAAGGGCGGGAGAAGAAGAAGGTGGGAGGAGAGACAGGTGGGAGGGTGGCGACTCACTCAGGATCCGGCGGGGGCAACGCGATGAGGCGGGTGACCCTGTTCCTTAACGGCAGCCCCAAAAATGGAAAGGTAAGGGGGTCGGGAGGAGGCGAGGGGGCCGCGCTGCGGGGGGCGCGGGCAGCGGAGTGCGGAGCGGGCTCGCGGGGCAGAGGGCTGAAGTTGGGGAGAGGCACTGGAAGCGGGGAGGTGGGCGTGCGCCGGGCCGGGGGGCGTCCGGGAGGAGGCCGACCTTGGGTCCCAGAGGCCTCCTCCCCAGCCCCGGGATCCCTAGCCCGCGCCTGCCCTTGGACTCCCCGGCTGCTCTGGGGACCGGCGCAGGTCAGTTTGTGCTCAGTCGTTCTCAAGCCTAGGTGTGGGTCCTGGAGTACCGAGGACTCGGAGGGCGTGGGCACGGTCGCTGTCACCTGATGCTCAAATTCCGCTTCCCACCTCCGCCAAGACCCCGCTGCCCCCCGCCCCTGGCTGCAGAAGGCTCTGGTTCCCACCTTCATGCTGAGTAATGGTCCGCTCCAGAAAGTGCTGGTTAACAACTAAAGCATTTAAGGGTGATCAGGTGAAAACAATTAAAACTTTCTATCCGTGGCTAAGTAAAATGTTCTCTCAACCTAAGTCGAATAGAGGGATGAAATAATACTGACATTTTCTTGATGGTTACCCCCCACCCACACACACACACACTTTTAGGAGCCCACAGCACCACCGCCGCCAAAACTTCTGTACTCGCTTTATTAATATTTCGTACTATTTTACTCTCTTAGAGGACTGGGACAATAGACCGAAGTGGATGGATTGGACATTACTTTTTGCTGTGTTAGGCCTTTGTTGAGGGTGTGGTGCTGAATATTTTTCCATCGCTGGAGCAAGCCAAAATGTATCCTGTTCCTTCTCAGCCCCTTGCCCCACCCATGAAAGTTGTTGGGCGTCTTTGGAAAATTTGACCGTTCAAGGCAGACATTTATGGTGTGGCTGGATGACATCTAGAAATTACTAAGCATTAGAGCCGGAGTTGAAGGTAGATTGGGCTCCCTGTCTTATCTGCCAGCATGTTTTCCGAATCTTTTGCACACACTAAATTTTTAAATAGCGCAATTGTGCCACGGTATAAAAAAATGGCTTTCCAACTACTCTGCAGTTTTGAGTGAAAGTGCTCTAAAGATTTGAACCACAGTGTAGTTTTTTTGACTGCAATTATCGTGTTCTTCTGGTTTTCGAGATTTAATACTCATTAAAAAAGAAGTAGCATAAATTCAAGTAATTGAGTTTTCATAAATTCTTCACAACATTCACTTTATTTCTGACTATTAATTTTTCTGTACCTGTTTTGTCTGTTGATAACTACTACTCATAACCCAAAACATGTGTTGTTACTGGAAGAAAGATTTAGTATATCCAAAGTTACAATTGTAGTTCGTTCTCAAAAACAGGCCTGGGACTGACCCTTTTCTTCAACATCTCTGCTTTGTTATTTCATGGAAGACAAGATGTTTAGACCCAGCCATAAATTTTTAACTACTTCTGAAACTACTGAATTTATTCTAGTCAAATATTGGCTGGCTTAATCTTGCCATATTTTTATTAAGGTGGCTTTTTTTTTAAACATACTTTTGACTAGGTTAGCTTTTTGGATTTAAATATTAGTTTACTTAAATATTTTTCTAGAGAATCTCAGAAAATTGGAAAAAAACTTCTCAAATAGTTAAATGTTTGTTGCAAACGTTATAAAAACCCAAATTGGAAAAGACTAATATGATTCAATATTGAAAATAAGTCAGGGGCTTCCCTGGTGGTCCAGTGGTTATAGGATTCCAGGCTTTCACAGCTGAGGGTGCAGGTTCAATCCCTGATCAGGGAATTAAGATCCCACAGACAGTGTGAATCAACCAAAAAAATTAAAAAGTCACATGATAACCTTTATTGCTTAACTGAAAAACATATTCTGTGCCAAAGTTTTCAGTGTTTCCTCCCCTCCCCTTAAATTGATTAAAAAAAAAATACTACTACTGATTTTAAAAAATTACTCTTATTTGACCAAAGAGAGCAGAATAACACATAACAGCCTGCATTTTTGTATAGATAAAGTGACTGTACTTAGCCAGGGTTGGCATGATCTCGACATGATTTTCATGAAACTGAAAGAGCACTATTGCAAGATAAACAGTTTGGTCTCTTGTCCACCAGTTGGAATATCTGTGTCACTTTCATTATCTCCTTACTTATCTAGCTTCTGTTTTTGTTACCTGGCCCTAAGAGTAATGCCTGTTTTTTTCCCACATAAGTTTCCCTCCTTTAAAGCGTGTTGAGCAGTTGCCAACACTGGGTGGTGAAGCTTGGGGTTGGAAAGGCAGAGTCGTATCGAACTCTGCATTTTTTGGTCACTGGAGAAGACAACATATGCTCACCACAACTTTTGACTTTTGTGTATGTTGAGTAAACAGAAGTATAACTATTGAATGTTTTGATGTTGAAGACAGGTTGGGGGGAGGGGTGCGTTGTGCCTTCTTTAAAGTGATGCTTTCCCAAGTGAGATTGTCTACCTCACAGGGCGTGCAAGAGGATCCAGTACTTTAAGAAGAAATAGTACACCTTTTAGGTTTTGTTTTGTTTTTTACTTAAAGATACAAAATTACATCAAGACTTGATTTTGCCAATCTGGAAGGACACAGATTGCACACAGGTGCTTTTAGTCCCTTGAGTGGGTCAGCTGGTTAGCTGCTCCCTGAATGTATATTCTTTGAAATAGTAGCCAGTGATAGGATGAGATCATCCCAATTAGCAAGATACTTAAAAATATTTTCCAGCACACAAAGATCGCTTTAGACTTTTTTTCTTTTAATGTTTAAAGTCAATCTTATATTTGGCAGGAGTTCACTAAATTTAATGATATATATTTAAGGGATTTTTACTGGTTGACTCATTGTCTTAAGTCAATAAAAGTCCTTTTCTCATTTGGGAAATTATATTTTTCCTGACAGTGGTGTATACGTTATAAATAAGTAAATGAATACATGGATGTTTGAGTATATCCCCCAAGTGTTTCATGGATGGGTGACTAGTCAAAGGAACTTGAAGACCATATTTCTAAAAAATTGAACTCTTTAAATTTTCATTTTTTTAAGTTGCTGCCAGAGTCAGGTTTGAATCTTTCATCCTTTCTCCACATGCCTCAGAATTTCTGTTCTCTTTTACTGTTGTCTGTAACAGTTGGCATCAAGGAATTTAAAATGAGGATGCAGTTGAGTGGCTTCTGATCTACCTGATGTCAGTTCCATGTTTCTGAGCGTTGTGGACTTAAATTGCTTTTTCTTACTTCAGAATATTCAACCAGGCTTTTTGTATACCTTACTCATTCATTAAATCAGCAGTGCCTGAGTACTGTCATATGAAGTACCATGCCAGGCACTGCAGCCATAGTGGGATGTGAAATAAATCTTAATTCTGTACCGATGTTTACAATCTTGGCCCAGGACCTGTTTAAATCTGACTTTAGAATTAAGTCAGAAATATGTTGTTAGTAAGTGTCCAGAGTTGAATTTGTTGTATTAAGTTGAAGAAAGGTGAAAACTCTATGTAAAGCTTCTGCATATTGAAATCAAAATAATAAGAAACTTGCTTTCTGGACTTGAGTTCTTCATTGAATACATTTCTAAGATTTCATCCATATTGTCCCACATAGTGATAGTTTAGTCATTTTCACTCCTTTATAATAATTATGCAAATTATACACAAATACTATCACAATTTACCCATTTTCCTGTCAGTGGACAGTTGGGGTGTTTATTTCCTTTATACTTTGTTGTGAAATTGATAGTCCTGCTATGAATAGTCTGGCATGGCCTGGTGCACATGTGCAAGCGTCTTTCTAGGGGGATGGTTTGCACACTTCAGCATGCATTGGAATCATCTGGAGAAATTGATCGACTATTGCTAGGCCCCACCCCCAGGGGCTTTCCAGGTGGCTCAGCGGTAAACAATATGCCTGCTAATATAGGAGACTCAAGAGATGCAAGTTTCATTCCTGGGTTGGGAAGATCTTCTGGAGGAGGAAATGGCAACCCACTCCAGTATTCTTGCCTGGAAAGTTCCATGGACAGAGGAGCCTGGCAGGTTTTAATCCATGGGTTGCACAGAGTCGAACCCTGGGCCACAGAGCACACACCACCCCCAGAGCTGTAAATTCCCGGGGTCTGAGGTAAGGCTGGGAGTTTAATTTTTAATCTACCCCTCCATGGTCATAACACTGTTGGTCTAGAGAGCTCACTTTCGAGAACCACTGCTCTAGGGTTGTAATTA